TAGTGGTGGTAGTAGTGGTGGTAGTGGCAGTGTGTTGGGGTAGTAGTCAGTCGTCGTCGGCGTCGTCGTCGTGGTCGTCGTCGCCACGGCGTTCCAAAGCTGAGGTTGCAAACAGTGCAGCGAGAAGCCAAGGACGGCTCAACATTTGAGGATGCTCAGAAACGGGCTGGTGATTTTGATTCACTCTTGTTGCAGCCTCTCTGAACCGAAGGATCTGGCACGAGAGCTGGAGCTGCGGAGCGGCTGGGATACAACACGGAAATTTTTGGATGGTGGGTCGGTTCTTCACTTAGAGAAGACGTGATTCTCAGTCGTGACGTCGTTCCAGTTGGCGTCCAAACCGCAGAGCACCGTGCTTAGAGGTAATGGGTCAAAGCTCCAGAATGGCTCAACGCATGGGACGCATGTGGTCTCTCATCTTCAGCTCGGTTCCGCCCAGCAAGGCCTACCAGAGCGGCGTTTCGAAGCACTGGACGGTGAAGTGCAGAGGCTCGACGGGCGACTGCCACTTGCCTTGATAAGATGCCCTTCAATGGATGTCGGTTAATGTCGACGGATCCTGGAGCACAGAGAAGTACGCTTGATCAGCGAAGGCCGTAGCCTTCCGCAATGAGGCTTTTGGTTGCTAGATGTTGCTAGTACGCAGTGCGTTTGTTATGCAGGCGGGCTGACGAGAAGGATGGTCGACCCACGTGTTAGTGTTCTTCAACATTAGAAAGTTGCGTGCTCGTCGCTTATCGCATATTTTGCACAAGCCGGGACAGCCAGGAGCCGGCATGGTGGCATGCAGTCCGTTTGACCCGCAAGTTGACTTCAGGGTTCGGCATTGAGAGAGTATGACCTCAGCTGGAGAGCTGGAGGTGCCTCTATACCGTGGGGGCTGGCACCCCCTGCTGCGTATATGCGTCTGTGTTGACGAGGTTTTGATTCTACCGTGGAAGAGAGACAAAGTTCAGACTTGACGGATCGCAAACTCTGACGTGCGATTGATCGACATTGAACCGAGAACTCCCGGTGTTGTTTGCGTGGCTTTTTCAAGCGAGTCCAATCTTGCAGCCCTCATAACCAAGGCAGCAGATGACTCTTCAGTTCTTGCAGCATGGCCCGAGTAGCATCTTTTACAAGTACGAAGGGTTTGGGTGTTTACTTCGTTCGCGAATCGAGCTCAAGTCTTGGTTTCCGCTTGGTTCTGTCGACAGGTTTTTGACAAAGACGATTCGCAAGCATCTAGTGACTTGTTACCGGCTGGACCCAAGGTCTTCTGCTACAACCTCCGTGGCTCGGAAAGATTGTATTCACTTTCATGACGTGTCTGTGCTCAGAACGATGTGGACTGGAAGCAGATTGCCAGTTCGGGGTGTGGCCGCTGAGCACATGTTGTCGTCTTATGTGCAGGCCTTTTCGCGTATTGTGTGCATTCCCGCATTCCCATCTCGAAATTGTTCTTTTCTTTCTCTGCCTCCTTGCCTGATCCTGGGCTGCCTCTGTGAAGGACGACTGTTCACGGGTGGCCTCGAGACTGGCGCAAACCGAGCTGCAGGTTCCGATGCGATAGTTTCGAAAATCAGCTCAATGGCGACATGCTGTGTAGCTGTGGACCAGGTACCCGAGACACATACCACGGAGCTTCATCAACTCCAGAAGGAGCTGGGCACTGTGACTGGCGAGCTGGGTGCCTCCCGGGCTCGTTTGGAGGCTGCCGTGGCCGAGAAACAGGTGCTCGAAGCCCGACTGGCGGAAGCCTTGCAGGATGTAGAGGAGGCCCGGAAGCAACGTGAGGAGAAGGGCTGGGAGGCAGCTGAAGCTGCGGCTTCAGCCAATCGGGAGATGGCAAGGCAACGATCCGAGAGCGACGAAAAGTACCGTCTTCTGGAGAAGGAGCATTCCTCAGTGAGGGACAAGCTGCAAAGTGCGCTGTCCGAGCTGGCTCAGGCGGAGAGTCAGAAGAAGGTGCTGGAACTCCAGGTTGAGACGAAGTGCCAGCAGCTGACAGATCTGGAGGAGCGGCAGGAACGGGAGCTTGCGGCGCAGGCAGAGAAACTGGAGCAAACGCAGGTGGAAGTGGATCGTTTGACGACTGAACTGTCAAAGGCATCCCAGGGATCACCAGCCGAGGACAGATGTACTCTGATGTATTCCATGCGCCCCCATGGACTTTCTAGAACTTTTGCTGGAGCCGGTTGCCAGTCCAGTCCGGAACTTGCATCAGGATTGAACGCAACATGACCTAGCTGCCTAGCTTCCCTTAGCCGCCATGTTGGAGAAATTCACAAAGCCAAACCCGGGAAGCCTCAGCTGCCATGAGCGTGCGTAGTAGCTCGACTAGCTCATTGAAGCAGAAACCTTCGACTCAACAACTTGAGGTTTGTGTGTCATCGGGCAGAACTGGGCAGAATGGATGCGCCTTTTTGCCGTCTGCTTGTCATCTCTTTCGGCCACTCGCCTCGGTCCGGCAGGAGTTCAAAAGTGCTGCAGAAGAGCTTCGGCCCAGGTCAGAGAGTGACTTGGCCTTGAGACCCTTGCGACAAGTGAGTCCTCGCAGAGCCTGCCTTGTTTCCTCGGGCCTTAAGCACCCATTCTTCACCGAGGTGAGAATGACGGGTCCGAAAAGGACCGCAAAATCCAGGCCTGACGGAAATGGGTTTGCTTGGATTGTCCCTCACCAAGCCAGTTGTCCTGCACCTAGAGGGCTCTTCTTCTGGTCTTCGTGAAAGTGTTTTGAGTTTCACTTGGCGGTAGTGCTTCTTATCTTCGTCGTGCTGGAGTCGATGCTTCGTCGTGCTTGAGTCGATGCAAACCAGATGCAAAGCTGTCCGAATTTGGCCACCGTGCGTTCGCCTTTTCTGGAAGCAGGCTGCTGCGAGCTATGGTTGTCAATCACGGTTCCACTTCATGCCATAAATATACCCCCGATCCTCCTGAACCTGAACGAAATCGCACGACGTTTCGCAGGGGAAGGGTGCAGTATGGCGCTGGACTGTTTTGTTGACAACGCTGATGACCTCCGGATGTGTTGGAGGGGGCATGATGGTGTTCTCGCCTGAGGCCGTTCTGCAGGCTTGTCAATTGTGCGGTGGTGTCTTTCAGACCAGTCTCACTGCTGAGATGTTGAACGACACCGAAAACTTGTATCTGTTTGCTTGAAGTTGCGCGAGGAGTTGCAGGCTCAACTCGATGAAGTGAGCCAGCAGCTAAGCCAGGCTGCGTGACAAATGCTGGGATTTGCACTTCGGTTCCCCTCAATGGCACAATCATGTACGCATAGACTTCTGCAGCGTCTTCATGGGCATGCATCGTGTCAAGCACACTGTATCAGAGAAGCATGCCAAAAAGCAATGTTCTCGGTCATACACATGAGCGTAGCAGAGTCCACTAGATCCAACAACCATGTCCCTGGTTGTTGTTGACGGTAAGAGTATGCAGGTCCAGGCTGAGCTTGAACAGCGCTCCATCGAAGCTGCCGAAGCTCTTGTGGATATCGGCCAGGAGGGCTGTCGCATCTTTGATGTCGGAAAGGATCCCGAAACCTTCGAAGCGCCCTGAACTGGCTTTTTATCTTTGTCTGAAAGCAGAACGCCTCCGTGATCTGTGCGAGGATGTAGATGCCATTGAGTGGGAGAGTGGCCAGCGTGGGCGCAAGCTGGAGGCCTCCGGCGGAATGTTGTTTTGACGATGTCAGTTCCATGTCAAGCATCCGATGCATACCTGTGTCTGTTAAAACCTTCCCGTCGAGAAACGAGGCCGCAAACGCTGAAAAGAACCACAAACCACATGCCAATCTCCTGCTGCTGCCTTTGTGGCGATTCCTCCTCCCACTACTAGTGCTGCTGCTACTACTATTACGACGACGACGACGACGACGACGACTACTACTACTACTACTCGTGCTATTACTACTACCACTTTTGCTGCTGCTACTATTACTACTACTATCATTACTACTACCATTACCAGTACC